AAAAAAAAAATCAGACAAAAGGAAATTGAACAGAATGTCTTCTTTTCCATCGATTTAATTTTTAACTCATAAGTTCCTGCTTTCAGGGAATAACAAAAACATCCCTGGGGCCTGGAAATTGAATTTCCCTGAACACCTCCCCCAATTCCCCATCCATTCACGAAAACTCCGGTGTAGTCACGAGAATAACGAGTCGATGAAAAAAAAAAGAGCCCCCGAAATGTACGACGACAAAAGGATGGTTGATGGGAATTCCCATTTTTGTTCTCAAAAGCATAAATATTTTTTAATTGACTCACCGAATCCGCTGCTCTAGACTGAATGGAGAGTCCCGAGAGGCATTCGCATGCACCCAGTCATTTTTCTCAATTTTATTTCATCCCTTATTCCCCGAAATAACGAAATTCAACAAACTATGATACAATAGTTTCTCCTGTAAACAAATAAAAAAATACTTGATAGCACGCAAACCACGACATGTCAATAACGGACGGATAATTATTTTTGCTCTTGAATTGACGAATGAAAATAGATATTTTCATTAAAAAAAAATTGACAGTTAATCAATCTCTGTTGACTTTATTATCGCTATTATCTCCCCTATAATTCCCCTTATTTCCCTATCCTCTCTGTCTGAGTGATTGGGCGTTTTTTTTGCAATCAATTAAAAACGGACACGCGTGTTTTTTTTGGTGCTATAATATAATTTTTAATTTCATTTTTATTTGAATTTTTGTTTAATATTTACATAAGTATTGCAAAAAAAGTTTAAATACTCAATTCAACTATTTGTTTATGTTTCAAAATGGAAAAATATAAAAAATAAAAAATGGAAAATTTTTTAAAATGTGTCCGTTTTACCCCAGGTGTCTATACTACCCCAGCATTCCTGTAGATTCCTTTTCGTCTTTTTTTTTGGTTCCACATTTTTAACGCACGTTTAACACTCGATTGAAGACTCAAGTTGCGTGAATTTAATCAGATTTCAAAGTGGCCAACACCGGGGATCGGAAGACACCAGGAATTCATGAATATTTACATTTATACGTATAGAAATACACCTGGTGCACCTCGGAATGACCCATGAGGGGATAACCCCGGTGGATTTTCTTAGAATATCCGCCAAGGACGCTCTATAGACATTTTGTTGGCCACCAGTGGAGAATTCAAATCATTCGCACTTAGAGAGATTTATTTGAATATTACAAGATAACGACATGTCACATGCCAAAATCCATTAGGATTCATTCACTCATCAGACATCTTTTACTGTTGTTATTTTATTATCTAAGACATCTCCCAGAAATTTTATTTATTCATTAATAAAAATTTACTGTTTGTTGTTCAAACAATTCGTTTTTCATTGAGCGTGAATGACCCAGTTACTCGCACTGGCCCAGTTATTGCTACCTGTGTTTATTTTTTTATAACAAATCAATTATTCATATAATTATCTTTGGTAATTATGGATAAATGAATATTTATTTCAAATGGTTATTTTTTTATATGAAAAAAATTGAATGACGAGTTGACCAATGATAATTAAA